ACAATCTACTGTAAGTGTTTACAAACCTCAAGATCTGTTCCTTAGTGGCTATGTTCCCTGATTCCATCTTATCCACTAATATCAGGTGTTCTTCTGGTGTAAGTGGTAATTCTGCTACCAGCGGCACATCAAATGGCACTAATGGCGTATTGCCTTGCTGTAACCAGGGATGTTTTATTATGTCTGCTATGCTTGCACGATGATGTGGTTCACGTTTAAGCATGCGGGATATAAGGCTGAGGAATGAATTAGTATAGGAAATCACATGATTTTGAGTACAATTCGGATTTGATTAGTAAAGGTGTTTTGAAAGTTTTCAAAATTGGATGAGGCTTAAGGTAATTCCCTTGTTTTGCACTGCACATTTTTCTGCGCATGCAACTAAATGCATGGAACTAACAAAGTTTAGGCATTTTTCATTCGGAAAAAAAAAAACTATATAAGAAACATGTTCAAAACCAATTTTCAACTATTCTGAGATGTTTTTTCAAGATRAATCAAAAACGAGAAGGGTGACCCAGGGCTTTCAATAATATTTGAAGTAGATGGATGAAGTTAAAAAGTACACGTCTGTTTCCACAAATTTTACTTCTTATTTATTAAGAATGATTTGCAAAATAGCYGGCGGTATGAAGGTAAGTACCCGGCGATAAACCGCCAGTAGCCKCCTYCTATTGAAACCCCTGGTGACCCCCATTTTTTACTTCAGAAAAATGCGATGCTYGTCATTATATATCAAAATATGAAGGAAAGTTATTGGATAGATTTTGAAATATTTTGATGGGAATAGTTGACATGTGCAATTTTTGGACGTTCGTAGAGGTGCATATACCTGCATTTTTCACTAATAATTCAAGAATCATAGTCATCCAATGATTTTGATGATTTAATAGCAWAGATTATCTAGCAAACTTCAAGTTATAAGTACGTTTTGTTATATGAAAGTACTTTTAACGGTGAACAAAGGTTCTTGATTACAGCTTCCGGTTGCTACCGCATTTCACTATAAAACCCATAGATTGACATATTTGGAGAGCATCTAGCGAAAAAAAAAAACAAGAATGGTGACCCCATCTTTTTATTGCAGTTTATAAATGTCCATAACATAATTAATGTCCATGCCAACTTTAAGGACAAAATTATTGGCAAAATTTCTTTCAAGGGAATTACCTTAAGGCAAGTCCAATTTGAGAACTTTCAAAACATCACGAGTATCTACTAATTCCGAATTGCATGAGAAAATCATGAGAACTTTTGTTTATTGTACATTCAACAAGATTGCACAACTTAATTGGGACTYTACAGGGTACAATTAACAATTTAACTCCTCTAGTCCAATCAGAATAGAGTAATTTTGTTGAATGTATGGTAATATWTTTTCATTATATGCATGAATTGTTGTCATGGTCTGACAGTGACAGACCTCTTTACCTTAGACCATGTGTCATTCTCTTGAGGATAATATTCAATATCTTATCATGTTATATTGTTAAACAAAGAAATGATATTMTAGGGAATGATTATGGTCTATAATGGGAAAACATTAAATCCAAGGTTAAGAGGTCTTTTTAGAAGCTAATATTTATTGTGTATAGATTGAAAGACAACCAAACGTTCATTTGCACTGGTCACAACTCTAACCTAACCCTAAACCTCACCAATTTGATGAAATTGTTGTTAATTAGGAGGCTGTAGGTTACACTTACATCTAGTAGTATTCTGTATACTTTATGAATCATGACACAGCCAGCTTCGTAGTGTAATGATGTGTCTTATTGCTACATATAGACTAAATGCAAAACTYGAACCGATGTGAGGCTTAAGTTGTGAACAAAGGGATTTGGCGTGATTCAAAGTAATCTGGTGTAATTCAAAAGTCACGAATCATACCAGATTCCTTTGTTCACAACTTAAGCCTCACATCGGTGGGAGTTTTGCATTTGGTCTATGACCTCTTAATACTAGCCAAAGCAGTTGAAAAATTATTGGGGGGCGGGGCAGGGGGCCCCCTAGCACCTCCCCTTGCTATGGCCCTGTTTCCCAAATTTGCTTGACTGGTCACAAGACAATGGTTTTAAGTTGATGTTAAACTTGCTAAATAACTAAATAAAATTTAGTCTCAACTTCAAACCATTGTGTTGGTGGTCATCCACGTGAATTTGGAAAGGTTTATTAATCTATTTTTAAGTCAATGAGGCTAGCTCTAAGGTAGAAAAATGCCACTCAATACTGAACCAATAGTGTATTATTATTACCTTTTGCATAGACCGGAAACGTGTGATGGAACTTGATAGCAACAATCCATTATTTTCGTCAATGTTTCACTGTCATTGGCTTCATTAAATGGTGCTTCACCACTGACCAACATATATAAAATGACACCTAAACTCCATACGTCTATAACAGAAGAACAAAAATGTATAACATTAGACATGCCACTATTACATGGTATTGTGACTCACAACAACATGCTGTAATACAATATGATACTTTCTCTATTACAGATGTAAAATAGATTTCTAAAGAGAATGATGCGTGATCAAACACACGTTTGGCTAACACAACATCGTCTGTTAATATACCTCTGGGTAAAAATAAAAAACTTTGAGATGGTTTATAACATAAGTACATATTTTTATTTAAATAAAAATATATCCTTTTTTCTTGTAATCTTAAATAAATCTGATATTTATCGATGAATGTGCATTTAAATTTTGAAATTTCGTAAGTATTTGCGCAAATATGGAATTTGAATGTATGTAAATATGTAAGCTTATATAATAATGCTTATCAAGATTTTCTACTTTTTGCCCTCTCGTATTAACATTATAAAATGCAGGGGGAAAAAGTAATCAAGCCCCGAAAAATACAGATAACATGGAAAATATCGAGGTAAATACAGCGGAAGATGTCATTCGATGCTGAGGAAAAATTTGAAAATCAAAAACATACAGGAATATTTTAAAAATCAAAAATGACGGTCCAGCTACAAGACATTCTTATTCTTTGTGTTTTCAATATAATTTCATAATTTATAATTTCTCACATAATCGTTAAAGCAGTTTTGAACATATTTTCTCCTTCAAGTACTCGATTCCAAAATGTACGAAGAAAAGCAAATATATTCATGGTGATTGTTTTTAAATATGAAGATCGTCTTAGACATTTTTTCACTAAAGCTTAAAGGATAGCGAAAAAAACCCAATATTTTTAAAAACATCTTCACTAGTTCGGAGCTTAAAGTTTGCAATAATAAATCAAAATGGTTGGTAGGAAAGTAAAGAATTTACGTGGGTTGGTTGTTATTAACCAGTTCTAAATATCTTACCAACAGCAGGCGCTTCGTAAGCATCTCCTAGTAAAACCTCGGGTGCTGAGTACGCCAAAGATCCACAAGCGGTCTCCAGTTTCTGATTTGGTATAAAATTATTGGAAAATCCAAAATCTGTCAGCTTTGCTAAGTCTTGGTTCTTAAAAAAGATGACATTTTCAGGCTTTAAATCTCGATGTACGACATGCAACTTATGACAATAGTCAATGGCAAGTACGATTTGTCGAAAAAAATAGCAAGCTTTTTCTTCGGTTAAACCACGGTCATGGTTCATAATATAGTCATACATGTCTCCACCATCGCCCAGTTCAAGGATAAGGTACAGTTTAGTTTTAGTATCGATTACTTCGTACAATTTAACGACGTTTGGATGTTGTACAAGCTTCATGCACCGTACTTCTTTCATGAGATGTTCCCTCGAAATCTCGTCTAGTTTTGTTTTGTCGATCACTTTGACTGCTACTTGTTCGCCAGTAAATACATGTCTTGCAGTTTTAACGACTGCATAGTGTCCTCTGCCTAATTTTTCTCCCAAATCATAAAGTCCTGCTATCTGACTGTCCTCTAGACTTGTTTTCCAGCTATGCTTCGCCATCTTGCCTTATGAAATGGACGACGATCGGTGTTCGGCAACCAACAATGCAAATGTCAGCTGGTCAGCCAATCACAGTCATTCTTTCTTTTACACAATTCCAACAGGAAACTCAAGGTTTTTTTTTTGTTGCCTTCTCTATTTCAAAACTTACTGAACTACGGTAGTTCAACGAGTTTCGAGTTCAACGAGTTTCGAGATCAACTAAAACGGAAAAACACTTGTGTAGTGGAGTTGATGAAATATAATAAATGGATAAACACTATAGATCTAGCCTCGACGTGAAGCCATTGTTTGGTGCTCACTGAAGGTCCATAGCTTGGTACTCTTTAAATTATATATATGAAATATGAAATACAAAAGCTTGAAGGTGTTGAAAGGATATTTTGATAAGCCTCTGGATAAGCCTTTTGCCAATCTACCCCAGCCATTCGCAACAGGACCCGGGCAAGAGGAATGGAATTTTTCTTTGTCTAAACCTGTTTTTAGTTCTCCTGAATTAGACAAAAAATAACAAAATCATAACAATCATAAATAGAGTAAATAAATGAATGTTTATAGGGTGAAATAGAGTGATTTTATTTGGCCCGTGAAACAATGGAGTTGCGGTCTAACTACTATCATTCTTCCTACACGGGCCAAGCAACACCACTCTACTTTCTTATGTACCCTCCGGTGAGGAAAAACAAACACGAACTAAAACACGAACTAAATCACTTGGAATCCCAATCGATTTTTATGAAGAAGAAGTCGTGTGAATTAGGGACATATGAAAGAATGCTGGCTACCCGCTGGCTACCTACCTAGCCTGCGAGAGAAATTATACCGGCTGAACCAGGCTAAATGTACCTAGTCTTATTTTAATTCTTAAGCTAAAATATAAACAAATATATACTAGTAAAAGTAAAATAAACAAGACAAAGGAAAAGACACCTGATTTGTTTGTGCGACTGTTGTTGACTTTATTCATGACAATAGAATTTCCCGCCGTTTTCTGTGCAAAAATAACTGGTGTGTTCTAAGCGTAACAAATGTCAACCGATTAACCAATCAAATACCACGCATACCACTCATGTGACTGGTGTGATGTGTTTTTAACCAATCACACACTTTGTTTTTGAAGTCTTGTTCATTTCTACACGTGCTCGGAACAGCGTTGTTGCTTTCAACTCGCCAAACAAAACGTTTCCACCCGTAACTAGAGTCTACTTCCATCAGTACTCTTCTTCCTCTAGAGAAGAATTTAAAATTTTCATAACAGAGGATAAATAATGTACTGCTCTAGTGGTATGCGGTTGAACAAAACATTAAACGAAGATTTGGAAAATGTTATTTTCGATTTCCGTGAGCGACTGAAGGTCAAGAAGGATTCACAAACTATAGCTTCACGACAACAAAGTTTGGGCGAAGATTCACAAGCTAAGCAAGATATAAGTGAAACGCCTTTGAACACGTTTATGTGTCCAACTTGTGACCCATTTAGAACTTCTCAATCTTATGATACACTAATGGAGCTGATAGGACAAGGCAATTTGATCAAAGAAGCTGTTCGACTTATAAAGAATGCCAGACAAGGTAAACAATTGAAACGGCTTACACCAAGCAGATGATGAATGGCTTTTGGTCAAATGTTGTTGTGAAACTTGGAAAAGTGGCAACGAAATTGGGTAAAAATGTCAATCATGAAACGAGGAAAGACTTGTAAAAGGAGAAAGCGACAGTGGAGAGTGTGTTTAGCGGCGAAGACCAAGAATCATCTTTGTTTACTAACTTGTGTTCGAATACACGCTCATTCATTCGAACACTGTTTACTATATACAGTAATAATGAAATATGAATAATTTATTGGATATGAATGGAAATATTTCTCAATGTATGGAATGATTGTATGGAATGCTTTCTGAACTAAGGAAAAACAACGAATTTTGACTGTGCGTGCAAAGAGCGTATTTTGAGAACGATCCCTGCTGTTGATATAGTGTGCATGACGTCAGATTTAATTATAGCGAGCGCCCCATTGACTCAGCTAAAACATCTAACGCGAATAATGTCTTCTAGATTACATCAATGAATTCTAATTAGAATGATACTAAACGAATGTATCAGAATTATAAATAAAAAATATTGACAAAAGGATACTTTTGTGCACTGTGTTTGTTGTCTTGAGAAAGGCTTTAGACGAATTGGAGGGGGGAGGGGGGGGGTAGAGGGGGGAAAGATATAAAAGCAGGGGGCTAAGCAGACGTAAACTATAATAGTTGTGTTTTTCTATATCTATACGGTTAAACTTACATTTTAGGGGCAAAGAAGCGATTTTTATATTTTTGCTGTGAGAGGAAATAAAGTTTGGACCTCCTTTTATAGGACTGGTGATGAGCGGTTGGTTGATAAGGAACGCCTGTCTGTTATTGCCCATTATTGCAGTTCAAAACATGAACAAGCTTCCAAAACTTATCGTATTCGACTTGGGTAAGAGGTTTAGCTTAAGAAAGAGGGTTTATTTTATTTTGGGACGGTGACTTTTAACTACAAGTGTTCTGTTATATTTTCGTTCCGGTTTGATAATAACGAGTTTCCAGTCAAAGGTCCAGTATTAAAGAAGGTCTTACAGATTCCTTCTCTTTTAATATAGTACATACTAGTATTACTTTAGTTTTGGTTTATACCATAGAGTGTTTTTTCTTGGCTGTGAAGAACTAGTAAGCATATTGAATACATATTAGTAAATAGAACTGTTATTTATTATGAAAATTTTTTAATTTTTTTGATCAATTTAAAAAAAGTTTTGAATTAATTTTGTTTGCAGTTTTCCTACGGTTATAAAAGCATCGTTCAATACCTAGCTGTGCGTATATCCAGTTCTAAATTCACTTTTCGGCCATATGCCACGTGCAACTCTTATGCTTTTTTCGTGCTTATATATAAGCAACTTCCAATACCTGTATCCAGAACTGGATATCAACATGCTTAGCACAGACTATTCCTTAAATTGATTGATTGATTGATTGACTGATTGATCGTTTGATAATTAGGAGTGTATATGTGTAATTAGTAATCTGTCTAACATTGTAGATTTCACCTTATGGCCATTCTATGTGGATACACATGTTACACCACCCTTCTCCATAACAAGGTAATAATAATATAGTTAAAGTGCCACTACAATGAAATTTTAATTTCTCCAATTCTTACTATTTTTAAACACATGCTAGAGTACTTTACAAAAGAAGAAAACTGGCATTTTTCATTTCTTGTCAGCTTTTTTCACTATCAAAGGTCTTTCAATCCAGGAAATAAAAAAGCAAGTCAGAAATTTGATGGTAGGGTACTATGGCAGTGGCACTTATTTTGTCAGTACTTTTTTTGGTATTGGTATCAGCAGTTGTAAGGTGGATACAGAGATAAATATAGCTGGAGTATATTGTAGGTGCCGTGCATCCCTTCCCATGGGAATAAAAGGACAAAAACTTGGTCTCCAAGTTGGTTGACATGACAAAAGACTGTTGTTCATCATTACCACCACTACTGTTTTCATCTTCRCTGTTATCATTATAACAATAATTTTATCTATAAAATGCACAAATCTAAAGATAATGGCATATCCGGCCTGCACACTTTTATAGAAATTTATGAATAATCAAAATATTTACCTTTGTTTTCAGAGCTGGTGTTGCAGTTGACAAATATGGATATAAAATAGAACTTTATAAAGAAGTAATAGGCATTTTAGAGTGGCTAGAAAACAAATCTGTCAAATTAGCTTTGGCTTCAAGGTATATCATTATTTTGATAGGTGTTCTTCCTTTGAATTGAACATTGACTTTACAAAAGGACTGTCCCCAGGTGCCACAGGGTCTTTTCCTCAAAACCTCTTCCTCTAGTGCTTAACAGTCTTAGTAGTTTCTTATTACGATATTTATAACAAAAATTGCAATTTGCCAAAAGGTACTTTGAATTTTAATGATTCTTGAAACAAAATCTGGGCAGATCCAAGTAAGGGCACAGATAGATAGCTTGTTGAATTGTACAATCATCAAAAGAAGGAACCAAGGGCAGGAACTGCTCGCAGGGTACACCCTTAGTACATTAATAAATTAAATTATTTTTTTCTTTTGATAATAATTCTAGCAAATGTTTATTATGGTAACTTATAGTTGACATTAAATGAACTCAGACATTGTATATTTAGCATGTCCTTGTCTTTAAGACCCATGCTCCTGCAGCTGGCAAAGAACTCATCCAAATTTTAGATATTGAAAAATTTTTCCATTACAAGGAAATCTATCCAGGTTGTAAAGTAAATCATTTTCAAAAGTAAGTATATTTAGTGCTGCTTGCAATAGTCCACTTCACAGTTCCCATTACCATCTTGAAAGGTAACTGAGAATGGGGGTTCACCTTGCAATGATAGAGACATGAAAAATTGCCCAAGGTACTGTTAAAAGTCCCAATCATTTCAAGGTCACCGCAGTTCTTGCTTTGGCAATGCACATCACTACTGGCTGAGAACCTGTGGAAAACCTGTGAAAAATCTCTCTGTATTTTAGAAATTTCACAGGTTTTTCACAGGATTTTCACAGGTTCTCAGCCAGTAGTGCATGCAGCCATGGCTAGATCTTTCAAGATGGTGCAGATAACCATGAAGGAGACTATAAATAAATGATAATAAATAAAAATTGATTTGTTTCTTGTCATAGTTATATTGTGATATAAAGATATACACAAACAATTTAAAATGTTTTGATTTGTATAGATTTATGCATGACAGTGGAATAGCTTTTACTGATATGCTTTTCTTTGATGATGAAGAAAGAAACATCAGGGACATCAAAAAATTAGGTATTGTGTAATAATTGTGTAGATCATCTTTTTATTTGAAAGATTAAATAATTTGAATCCACTTCATAACAATACTAGCTAGACTTTAAAGACAGCATATCAAAGCCTACTAAAGTGCAAACGCTATATCCACGAAACAGTACTTGATTACTCTATAAATAGCACTAATTTGTACTAAATAAAATTGTACTATTTAATGCAAGATARATTTCAGGTACGACTATACAAAATGGCACTATTAAGGTTAGGTTATTTTTAGGTTAGGATTAGGGTTTCAGGATGTTATAATCAATAATCAATAATCTAATAATGCTATTTCATGTAGTCTTACATGAAGTACTAACCTTATATATTTTAGCCTCATCTTTGCATCATATTTACCGCTACCTACCATCTATTTCACCCCGGCCTGCTCTCAGTCTGACCTCTAGCTTAGCTGRTAGAGCATCGGTAGTACTATTCCGAAGGTCGTGGGTTCGATTCCCAGCGAGGTCGGAAATTAATTTTTCCGAATTTAGTTCCAAGGGCTTTCGCCCGGAATAACCTCGTTCCCAAGCACTATAACTTATCTATATTTCTAAATCTTCATTATATTTAGCCTGTTTTACAAGTTGTTTGTACTCTATTTTTTTACACGTAAACATTAATCAATGACAGCTTCTTCTTGATGCTTTTCTTCTAGGAGTAACCTCTCTGCATGTTCCACATGGCATCACTATGGCATTAGTACAAGAAGGACTTGAATTACATGCACAAAACTAATATATATTAACATAATTATATTAAAGTTCATTTATTCAGACATAATTTTATCCCACACCAGTGAAACACAGCCAATCAGAATGCAGGAAAGTGGTTGTATATTCAGTTGTATTTTACCATTTCTTCACATCAGGAATTGCAGTGTTATGAATTTCATGATTTTATGGCTAGGTATATTTTCAATTGTTTGGGATGAAATAGTTATATAATGCTTTCTCATGGCACACCATAGAATATCCAGCTTGTAACTTGTATTTTCCTACTAAACACACACTTGCATGAAAGCTCATGCTTACGCTAGAAAATACAAGTGACTCCTGGGATATTTCATGGTGTGCCACTCAAAACAGTCATATAAATATCATTTATTTTGATCTGATCACAAAGAAATAATTTCCTTGAAAAACATTTTAGTTTCATTTCTTGTCACCTCACTACTCCCCTGGAGTATTTTATCAAATCATTAGATTGCCAATCAATAAATTGATATTAATCGATAAAATTAATGAACTAATATCAATTAATATCAATAATCAATGATTAGTATGATTTAAAAAAAATTAAAAAACTCATTAATAATTCATGAAGGAAACACAATAGAAATCATGACCATGAAG